TTTTAAATTTTGGCACAGCAGCTCCGTCGTGCTTCGGGCGACGGCGGTCTACCTCGGATCGGCTATTTTCGGCTGAATTCAGCCGATTTTGCATCAATCCCTGCGAGAAAACATGTTAAGGGACCTCAGTTGGTCGGAAAAACACAAAAAACCAAAACTCACTAGCGGGGGCTCTCCGGTGCGGCGGCTCCTCCGGCTCACATTATAGTAGGGTTTTTTTGCTCTAGTTAACCTATAGAGAAGGAAACGGTGATCACAACGGCAAAAAAATTACGCAGAACAGAAATCGAAAAGGGCCTCGTTGCAGGCATTTTGTAGAATTTCATGTGATGGCACCGCCGGGCTTTGCCCTCATTTTTCGGCCAATCGGCTAGTTCTTTTACTTTGATTTGGTCATGAGTATGTTTAAAATTGAATTATGAGCAAAAATTTTTTTTTTCCTCTTTTGGCAGTCGGAAAGGGCTCTGGCGTGGTGGCAGTTTCCTTCCCGGTGGCTAGGTCTTCTTCTCCGGCTAAGGAGTTTGGTGGCTAGGGTTAGGGTTTGGTGTGGATGGGGGTTATCCGTCTGCTTTTGATATGGGTCGTCCATTACGTTTGACATGGACCGTCCGATCGCGATTAAATAGGGAGTAAATTTAGGCCGTTCATCGCGATCCAATATGGACCGTTCATCGTGATCTAATCTGAACCGTCCAATCACGTTGGGGGAGAGAACGCATCTAGGTCGTTTGCATGCGCGGGAACAGATCTGAGCCTTTTGATCGCAAGCGCAAGGATCGCCCGCATGGCCTCCCGCGTGGCACCGTATCAGCGTCCGCTACCACGCGGCGCGTCCTGATTCGTCAGGGCTGCTGACCGGGCATCCTACGTGATGAAACTTCTCTAAATTGTATTTTGACCTCTGGTTTTTTATTTTTCTTTCAAAAATACTCTTATAACCCAAATTTTCACCCCTTCTCTCTAAAATTATTTTCAATTTAATCCTTCATTAATTTTACTTCATTTTTACTCTAAATTAAAATTAAAAAATTAAAAAATAAAGAAATTATATTTATAATTAATTCCTAAATTACATTAAAAATTAATTTAGGATATTACAACTCTCCCCCCTTAAAAGAAATTTTGTCCCTCAAATTTGTCTCTCTTACTCTCAATCAAACAGTTGGGGATATTTGACTCTCTTACTCTCAATCAAACAGTTGGGGATATTTGACTCTCTTACTCTCGATGTGTGATTCTGCCATAGAACCTTAACAAATGAAATTTTTTGGTTGCGGAGTAATATGCTATTTTGGTCCACAATGCCGACCGGGACTTCTTCATATGATAGATCCTCCAGGAGTGAAAGAGGCTCGTGGGCCAAGACATGAGAGAGGTCCAGGTTGTACTTGCGTAGCATGGACACATGAAACATATTATGGATCCTGAAAAGTTCTAGAGGCAGTGCCAGTCTGTAGGACGATTCTAATTCTGTCTAAGATTTCAAATAGTCCAATAAATCGAGGATTAAGTTTTCCCCTCTTGTCGAACCTACTGATTTCTTTGAAATGAGTGACTTTAAGGAACACCCGATCGCCTTTCTCAAATTCCAAGTCCCTCCTCTGGGTGTCTGCATAACTCTTTTGCCTGCTCTGAGCCGTCTGAATGTTCTTCCTGATCTTAGCTATTTTGGTTGTAGTTCCCTCTGCGAGATCTGGGCTAAACAGTTTTCTATCACCCACTTATTCCTAATATATCAGCGATCTGCATGAGCGGTCATACAACGCCTCATACGGAGCCATGTCAATACTTGCTTGGTAGTTGTTGTTGCAGGCGAATTCTATCAGGGATAGATGGTCATTTTAATGGCCCCCAAAGTCAAGAACATAAGCTTGGAGCATATTCTCAAGTGTGCAGATTATCCTTTCTGACTGCCCATCGGTGTGAGGGTAAAATGCAGTATTAATGGACAGTTTTATCTTCATAGCTTGCTGAAGGCTAGACCAAAATCGAGAAGTGAACTTGGGGTCCCTATCGGACACTACTGTCACTGCCACTGCATGTAATCTGACTATTTTCCAGATATATATTTTTGTCAACTTATCTAAGGGATCGATCATCCTGATGGCCAAGAAGTGGGAGGACTTGATAAGTCGGTCAATAATTACCTAGATGACATCATATCTTAAGCGTGCCTTAGGTAATCCTGTCACAAAATCCATGATGATATGTTCCCACTTCCACTCTGAAATTAGTAATGGCTAAATAGCCCACCTGGGCGTTGGTGCTTTGCCTTGACTTGCTGAAATATTAAACACTTAGAAACAAAGTCAACTATATCTCTTTTCATCCCATTCTATGAAAATCGAAATCGCATACTTTGGTACATCTTAGTACTTTCGGGATGCATATCAAACTTTGAGTTATGAGCTTCTGTCATAATGTCCATTTTTAACTCACTGTCACCCAGAGCAAACACTCTATCCTGGAATCTGAGCAACCCATTGGTAGAGACTCAGAATTCTGAGTTAACTCCCTGTTCTGCATCTTTCTTGAGGGCTGCTAGGGTGAGATCGACGGGTTGAGCTTCCTTTATTCCCTGGATTAACTTAGGCTTAACAATTAGGTGGCCCAAACATGTGACTCTCTTCAGGTCCTGAAGCCGTACCTGTTGTGCGGCCCCTATCTGCCTCCATTCTGAAACCATCAAATGGGCTAATATACCTGCATTTTTCCTACGGAACGCATCGGCTGCCACGTTATCCTTACCTGAGTAATACAAGATATCGTAATCATAGTCCTTGAGAAGTTCTATCCACATTTTCTGACACATATTGAGATTTGAGTGAATATGTGTTTCAAACTCTTGTGATCGGTATAGATCTGAAAGGTCTCCCCATAGAAATAATGACACAAAGTCTTCAAGGCATGGATGATTATGACAAGCTCTAAATTATAGGTGGGATAATTTTCTCATGAATCTTTAACTGTCTGAACCCATCGGGTATGACCTTCCCATCCTGCATCAAAACACAATCTAAACTAAGTAGGAGGCATCACTGTAAACTGTATATCAACTCGATCCGCTCGGTAAGGCCAACACAGGTACAGTAGTCAGTCGCTTCTTTAGTTCTGAAAAAATTCTTTCACAGTCTTCGTCCCACTTAAACTTGACATTCTTCTTTGTAAGCCGAGTTAAATGAGCAGGTAGACTCGAAAATCATTCCACAAATCTGCGGTAATACCCTGTCATTCCTAGAAAGCTACGGATCTCCTTAACCGATGTCAAGTTTTTCTATTCAAGCACTGCTTCATCTTTTTCGGGATTCACTGACACTCCATTTTTTAATATGAT